GAAATAATCTCCGGGCATTACCGGCTTTCTGCTCATCTCTAATCAGAACTCAAGTTCAATAATCTCCGGGCATTACCGGCTTTCTGCTCATCTCTAATCAGAGGAAACTCAAGTTCAATGCTGTCTACTTTGGTATGGACTCATCAGTCGGATAACGCCAGAACAAGATGTTGAGCTCTACAATTCCAACAACCGCCTACAACCAGTGATATTATTTGCCGAGATGCGGACTTCATAAAACTGGCCGCTGCGCGCCGAGGGCGTCAAAAGTCTATCAGTGTTTGACCATCGATGTCTTCGTAACAATGCCCGAGTCTGGTTGGAACACCCCATCAGCAATGTTGAAGCACGTCGAATGGTATACGGAAGGAATAAATCAACCGCAATAGATGAACTGATCACAATGCTTAAGTTGCGCTGGCTTTGCCACGTGCTCCGTTCTTCAGTTGACGGACTTCTTCGGAAGTTTCTTTTCTCACAAACACGTGAAGGGTGGAAGCGAGCCAGAGGTGGTCAAACAATGACTTGACAACAAAGTACAAAACCAATTACCAACAAACTCAACTGTGCTGGTCATTGCCGTCTTCTTGGATGGGGACACCGAGACGGGCCACATACATTGTTAGAGACATTGTCAGACATGATTCACTCCCGCCCTCAAGGGTGCTCGTGCATTCAAGCTATTGCCTTCAATGCATAGCTCCTTTTCCAATCCCCCCACTTAACAGTCTACCTACAGTACTGTATTCACGCAGTAATTTATCAACTCCCGCCTCCAGTGCGCAGCTACCTACTCAACCTCCCCAAATCAACTGTAAACGAAACTGTGGGACCTACAACCACACAGACTCAGAATTTCAGCTCTAGGGTTTGGCTTCGGTAAATCATATTCACAAACGATTTTGTCTACAGTGTGTCCAATCTTTGCATTCTTCCTCGGTAAATCGAATGAGCAGCACATGGTCACTGCGAATGCGTCGTTCGGCGAAAAATCTTTAGTTCTGTTCCTGCGGGACAGCTACACAACCGTCAGCAATTTCCCAAAAGCAAGAGGCTTTCTACCGGACGAATATGTCAATTCCCTGATGATTGTGAGACAAATATAAACATAATTTTTCAGCTTCAATCAGTCCCTGTGAAAAATCAGCTTCAAAGCCTTTAAGTTGTGCGAACCCTTCAACTAAGTAGCATGTTTGCTTCAAGTCACTGGCTTGGCTCCATACTCAACCCCAACGACTTTGTGAGTGGAATTTCATCGATTGGTGATTTTGAGGCATAGTGCAGCAAAAATCAAGCAGACTACACGGCTTATTAATGGGACAGCTAAATTCAGAGCAACAACCGATCCAATGATGCACTTTCCTTTCTGGTACTTCATCAAATAGAACGTCACAAAATTTTCCATTCCGGAAGCATCCTCCACTGATATGCCACAAAGCAGACATTAGCACACTTTCGTCGGTTAGGTTGGCTGGGAAAAATATGTCCAGAATCAAGGCCAACGCATTCAAACAACACCGCTGTGTTTAGCTCTGCGTCCTAATTAGATGAGTAACGTTGAAGTCAGTAGTCCGACACCATACTTTTGTTGAAGTATGGAGACGAAAGGCATACCCTGAATGGCAGATACAAACAGCTGCAAACCGCTGCCAAATGTACTTTAAGCAGAATGATTGACTCGTCGAGAGATTTGATCACGTGGGGCGCCTTTGTAAATGACAGTCGGCATATAAATTCTATTTACTTTGGTTCAGAGGAGTAATTCACTGGCATTGAAACATAATCTACAGTCGAATGGATGGTAAACTCTCGAATACCGCTTCAGATTTCCTCGACTACAGCACTCAAGTATGATGTTTAGATGCCTCCGAACCCCACTGTCCAAAAAACAAGCCTAGTGACAGATGGGCAGCCTTGTCATTTCCGCAGATAGCATTGGGCCCGGTAATACTGTTTGTGTTTGGATCAAGATAAACCTGCATTTTACTTTTGTTAGAACAAACACGCTATAATGAAGCCACCGTCTTAAAGTGTTTGTAGAGTCAAGACTTGCCTGAGAAAATATAAGGGTGTTGTATACAGTCTTCCTGAGTTTTTAACATGTTCTGGCCCCTCAAACCAGTAAGTGGTTGGACGTCATTCCGTTCAAACCTTAGCAGACCTCAAAAGGAAAGTCGCGCACATTGTGAACGCACCGATTATCCCGGTTGTCACCTACTAACCAAACCACATTTTTGGACGGGTTGGGCAGTCACTGGTTCAGCTACAAACGTATATCGCTTGTCAGTCGATTCCATAATATGACTACCATCTTATTAAATTGATTAGTCAATATTGACCGGGTAATATGTTTGTCTGAATCGGTCTTCAAGTACTATTAATTTGATTGCAGCCGAATTCACTTAGCTTTACATTTTTTGTAGAGTTACCAGAGTTTTGAATTTCTGAATGTAGACGTCGGTCTGTATGTTTAAAGGCGGTCTATGTCCAGAAGTCGAGAAGCATGGTACAGCCACCTCTTCTGTTATCATTTATTTTTTAAGAGCATGGTCATAAACATGAAAAGTGCATGCAAGCGACGAATGAGAAAGGGTAACAGGATAATATGGGAGAAAAGAGAGAAACGTCTCATTCGAATTCATGCCAGGAAAAGTTCCAGTCAGATGAGATGAATCCCAACTTATGTAAACATTTTGATATGGAAACAGGCGTCCAAAGACCAACAACCGAAGAAAGGATAAACAATGTTGAATGCTCTTTAAGGTGCGGTAGGCGCTAGCACAGTCAAGACTCGCACATCAGGCACAAAGTGTCCGTCATACTGGGTCTGGTGTGTAAACCAGCGGTACTGCGCATCTCAGAAAACTCCAGAGAGACCCGAGTCCAAGACCTCACTGCTAGTTGTTTGAACACTTCAATGTTCGACCACGAGCGGCTGATCAACAGAATGACTAAGTCGTACTTAAAGAAGTTACGGTGTCACTCATTGCCCAATTGTCTTGAGAATGAGGTCTCCGTTGAGAAATGTCGCCCTCTCTAACCTGTCCGGAAATATCCGCTTTGGATGCATTCTGTTCGCTGTCTTTGTGCTGGCGTGTTATATATAAGATCAAACTGACCGGCCTCGGTGCTCTAAGTTGAACTACTCAAGTCACTACAGGTCAACACGTAGGATGGTCCAAACAACACTTCCCCACTCTATACTACTTAATTAGAAAGCGTATCACATTACTGTTTACTTTTCGGGCTACTCGACCAGCTTTAAAACCAATTTGTGAACCGGCCTCAATCACTGGGGGAAAATTTTTTTGGTGGGCTTTTTCTCTCTTCGCGCAACAAGAATGCTGTGTTTGTAAAAAAACGTTGCGTGACAACCCAACGTAAATGTTTTGGAAGCTGAAAATAACGAGATATCGCGCAGCAAAAATATAGATCATGGATTTTAATTAGATTTTGGGATGCTGGCGTGCACTGTGGTTTGCAAACGCACGAATCTGAGGAGCCGACATATCCGGTATACAGACGACATCGTTTCCATCTTCGGAAAAGGGAACGTGTGATCGTTCTTTCATGAACTGACCAAAATCATCCCGTTATTCAACACGCGCTTTGAATCCACAAAACCCATTGGCATTTTCTATGACATGCCCCTTATAATCCAGGCGGTGTTTTACGTATCTTGGATGTTGTATCAGCGCCGATTGCAGTGAAACATGAGGTCAGTGCATGCATCTGTATGACTCGGGTCACGTTTGCTATTTTGAGATACCCATAGCGACAAATTTTTATATCCCTGAATCTTAAGAGACGTATGTACCAGGCTGTAAGACTTGGTCTGTTTTAGCGGCGGAACAAAAGCGTCTTTAGGTTTTGAGCAACACCATAGCTCGTGCAGTTTTGTGTCGGCGCATCCGTGACGGGGCAGTTAGAAAGTGAATGTTGGGCTGTGCATTGTGGACTTCCTTCAGAGATTGAGCGTAGCTCCAGTAGCCGATTTGGTTGTGCCATTTTTCCCGAAGACAGTGTACCTAAGTCAGAGTTGCTGAGAAAGAGACGTGGTCGACCTTTGACCAGGAAGAGGCCTATGGACTAGATCACACGAAGTCTCAGTGCTTTTGTTGTGACTTGTCTTCAAGGATGGAGACCATGTGATCCCCACTGCACCCGGCTTGGGAGGCTGCAAGATATGACTGCTAATCAATGCCAACGGCGTTCTGGTTCTCAGCTTCTATCCTAATGTCTGGAGTTGTGTGCCCCTTGGATTGATTGTGGTAGGCTTCCACTAAATCTCTTTTCCCTCCGTTTTCATTGGTATTTTAATAAGTCTTTCAGATAAATTATGGGTTTCCGACAGCAAACCTTCAGTTGTGAACACTGATGTGCTGTCTATGATGACCACACAGTCAGTTCGAGATCACGAATGGACTGAACTGATGAGCCCTAGTTTTATGATGGATTCAAAGACGGAAACCTGCCTACATTTTGGCTACAATTATGACAGTTAATCAATATTCGTTGCCAAAAAATAAACGACGTTGCATGGCCTGAAAACGGCCTATTATTGCGCCTAACACAATGTGACTTTGTTAGCACCTCACATACCTTGAGCATGCAAAATGGCAAACTCAGGTTTACCGTAAATTCGCTGAACATTTATCGTGAGAGTCCCATGAACAACTGATCAGAAACGACAAGAATCTGTATTAAAACAAACGGATACCCTTGCTACCACTTTCTTGCGTTCTCGTTTGGGCAACCAGTTGGTGGTGCGTTTGACCCTCGCTTAAAGTAGAACCACCATCCTTGGAACCCGCGGAAGAAGACTCGGAGCCAACCAACTGCAATTTATTTTGAAAAGAGGTCGGTGACAAATGCCCACTCAGAGTTGTTTCTTTGAATTTTTACGTCGCTCTTCTCGGTCATCTCGTTTCGATGTTTTAGCACAAATGAATTTTCAGGAAAACGATCTATTTCAACAGATACATCACAGGAAGGAGACCCAAAATAGGCCAAAGTGAGTGTGCTTTACAAGCAAACAATCCACTGCAGTTAATGGGTGGTATGAAGCTGACACTCGAATCGGTTCTATCTTCAAATTTTAGCACTGAGAAATAGGTAGAGAAGCCATATTACAAGCCCTTTGAACAGCAGCTCAACGGGACTGTCAGGAACAATATGCCGTCGAAGCTTGACCGTCAAGTAGTGCACTTCATGAGATACACAAAGCAAAGTGGCACTAATCAGTGCAAAGTTAACGAATGGATGATTGGGAACCAGGTAGAGGATCCCATAGCTGTTGTTTGACATCCATACGTGAAACTGAACTAAATAGAGCTGAAAAACACATCAAAATATCACTTTAGTGTGATGGAACTTAGAAATGCTTGTTACATAAATGCAGCGTTAAAACATACCGAGCCTGACAACGCTTAATTATCAACTCATTTGTGTGAGAAGTCCGACTTGTTTTGGCAAGAACTTAAACAATGCTGCAGAATGGGAAGGATACATAGATTGACTATCTTCATGAGGCAGTTTCACCGCGTTAATGCGATGTGGTTAAATGCATTTGCATTCGGCCTAAGCATACTTTGTCTGTGTTAACTGGCAAGGTCGAAGAGATTTAAAAAAGACAAGTGGGGCTCTGCGGATAGAAATGTATGACTTCAGAGAGTGAGTCTATGGTCAGGAGGGGAAATCGATATGGCCTCTTTGACGAAGCGGTTTTAGTTCTATGGGAAAGCTCCTGAGACGTGCTAAAGGCTCATCGTGATTCGCTGAACCCAGCAGTGCTTTGGTGTATTTTGGTGTCCGGTAAGCGTCCTCGAAATCCGTTTATTCTGCGACAGAAATACACCACAAATCTACCGATATGGTTGGTCCGTTTAAGTTAATTTTCCCACTCAAAAATTTAATCAGGATGTTCAAATTCAAATTTTGTGCACTTTAGCCTCGAACCATAATCTGCACCGGCTCTTAGCTAAAACAGGAACGGCAGTGACAATCCATCTCGATTGGGCTCGAACAATTTGCTTGCTTAATAAGTGCAGCACCCTGCAGTGAACCAGTCTGGGCCGACACCGTCACAGTCTTGAGAAGTCATACTTCAGTTTAATCCTTTCAACTGATGCTGTGACTATAAATTACACCTCTATAACAATCTAGAACTTGTAGGAAGGCCACTCTTCTCATATCCACAGTATAAAATTTCAGTTCAGGTGACAAACATACACAATCCGCTTTTCAATGTGGGAAGGTTTTCATGCCGAAGATTGGAGGGCATATTTGAAACGATTGCTGGAAGAACGGTTTCAGTGCAGGTGACAAACATACACAATCCACTTTTCAATGTGGGAAGGTTCTCAAGCCGAAGATTGAAGGGTGTATTTGAAACTATTGCTGGAAGAACGACCATCAGAGAAATTTCTTTATCATTGTTCTATATCAGGATTTTTGTTGGCATTTCCTATCAGTAGTACAAAGAATTTTTAATTCGCAATTGACAGCTTTCATTTTCTATACTCTAGCCTCAGTGCCAATTGAACACCAGTTCACCCTTCTGGAGGTGTTGTAAGCCTGTCGAAAGGACACTTTAACATCTTTCTGCAATAAGCTCATGCGCATTGGTCGGCATTTACAACCATTAGGCTAAACTCAGATCGATTGCTCATAATCACGGCCTGATACAGAATGTGCCATTCGGAGCAAAGAGTTTAAGCAATCTGAATCAAATAGGGCGAGAGGAGGGATTTAAAAAGAGTTTAAGGGATATCTAGATGAGAACAGCACAGGAAAACACAAGCGACCCTGATTCGTGTGGACACCGATCAAGGTAGTATGTTTCGGGAAACAGCACACTTCCCTCTTTGTCAGGGTCTCGTTGTCAATAAACGAAAGTGACAACTTATTCAGATCAGAGTCCGCCAAATGAAAAACGGCATAAATGCAACCTCACCATCATCAACGGAGACTATGAAATCAGTGTTAACGCTTGTGCTTCGCAGCCGCACGACCGCACAGTTTATTTAATCATAATTAAAGATTAAACTCGAAAAGGTGGAAAGTAGGTGAGAGGGGGACACGGCACTGGCCTATTGCAATTATTCTGTGGAGATTACATCTTTAAGCACTCAATAAGGCTATCTGGAAACTGACAACATATCTATATTGTGAGCTCGCCACGTCTGATGAAAAGCCATCACACGATCTGATCTACATAAACATGGATCTAGGCTATTTAACTAATTTATTCCTCGTGTAGTATGCGAGGATTACTTGATTCGGTTATTGCTAGACCACTTTACCAAATTTACTTTATTCTGTTTTATTTCACGTGGCGGAAATTTATCGTACGAAATAACCCAAACTAACACTGTTATACCATTCAGGTGACCCATATTGTTCGGTATGATGGTTAGTCAGTAGGAAAACGTGACCGGAACGAATTAGTAATCACTTATAAGATTTTTCTGGATATTCAGCAAAATGAATAGTTTGTCTCAGCTTCTTTATTCCATATCGCTTACCTTAGTTCTTCCCACTTATCTAAGCCATAGGCTCATCCTCGAAAACTGACTTAGAACCATCTGGAACAAATAGTTTACTTGATGCTGATACAGAGATCCTGAAGGGCTAGATTCATCTCTTTTTTGAATGATGGGCCAGCATGTAATGTATCCGCTACACCAGTGTGCTGTATTGTGAATTAATCTTACGAAAAATCAAAAACAGGAAACTGCTGAAACCAGGACATTCAGTGAATCAAGCCCTTTTCACGAACTAAGCCAACATCTCAAATCGGACTTCAAACGGACCAATCAAGACACACAAAATCCTCCCGCAATTAACCAATCACAGTGAATAGGTTGAATATGCAGTAAAAACCGCATAAAACGTGCAAAGATAGATAGATATTTGTTCGCTCTCTCCAACTAATGACCAAATAATCGTAAATCAGGTATCAAGTTTAACGAACAAGTCGACACCCAGCATTGAACACGATCTATCTTTATTTCAACACTCCAACCTACATCTTGTCATCTGTTGTTAATATACAGCTGACAAAAAGGACGTCTTAAAAGAATACAATCGAGAAGTATTTCAGAAAGAACTTTGGGTCATCAAACGACATTCTCGGCAACGCTTTGTAGCATCGCAAATACAACTAAGGTCGGCTTTTGCCCGCTCTACCAACCCAACTTCCAGTGAACACTCACCTCGAGGGAGATATCCCCACACCATGCAAAAAAGGCGCTGTATCGAGTTCGAACCGGTAGCAAGGCGTTCCGCATGCACATGTAAGCCAGTATCTGGAATTGATGGAAGGGGTTGTGTGCACCTGGTCAGTTAAGCGCAGACAATAAGGTAACTGTGAGCAATACCTATTGCTTAGCACTGAGAGTAAACAGCGATTAAAGCGTCTCATTTATAATCCCGCCATCTGTGTCACTCCCTTAGTTCTCACAATGGCACAAATTACAGTATCATCTGGATTGTGTTGTCTGACGACCCACCCTCACTTCCGCGCATAATCGACAGGTCGAAAACAACTGAAGTTCAAGTAGACGTGAGCACCGACATCATCTACGCTGTGTGAAAATGCTTAGTAAACTGCGGCATCATATCAGGCTAGAACATTAGTAATGATAACGACAAGCTGTAGTTCTCATTCTCAAAACAACCTGTGCGCATAGAAGAACAGGGTGTTTGTGCATGAAACGCTACTAAACAAGTCATTTGAAAACACAGAGGCCTTTCCTTTAGCTGTGCTTTAGATCGATGATACCTGGTCTTACATATAACGTGCAAACAGAACTATTTCATTCCTACTCTTTTCATGCTAGTTGTCAAAAACCAATAGATGAAAATGCTCTGAATATGCTGCTTCAAAGAAGGTGCAATGGTGTACAGTGCTGAGAAATGTTTCACACACACACAATAGTATAGATATATATATTCAATATGACAACCGGATTTTCGAGACCCGCGAAAGTGGCCACGATATGGAGTATGTGGTAGCATTCCAAACCTGGTTACGCGAACAGCTATTCATTCCAGGAACGCAAAACCCACTGCGCACATTTCTGAGGTGTCATTACGCAAAGTAACCACATTTCAACATAGGACGGTGCGCATCAAAGATAAATAATTCACAAGGTCGGTATGTGCGTTTTGAAACAAATTATGATACATCAGCAAGTATTGTCATTCGAATTAAACTTCTATGAACACTTGCTTACCGGAATAATGCAGATGTAGGGATGTAAAAGAATGCCGACTGTCTTGTCACGACAACCGTACACGGAAATTGCCGTAGCCTGGTAGTAGAAAATGGTGGAGATAAATGCGATTAATTTCAGCCAGAGGGAGGATTCACAAAAAGACTATTGACTGGAAAACCCAATGAAATCAGAATTTATACGAGCTATCCGGTTTGTAGTTCCGGCAAAGATTGATTCAAGGAAGAGCTGTGGTTACCCCTGGCCATTGCAAAATTTCAAATATCTTTTTTCTTTAGTCCATTGCCATACAGAATTTATCGAGCGTGCAAAAACGTGAATACTTTGGGACTTATTGTGATGTAGAGAAAAATCGGTCTATCGTGCTAGTTAGTTTAAGCAAGAGTCAATCTAGAAATTCAATAGACTCATGTATTTGTCTGGTGACCAGTCGATTCACTTTGACGGCATGACAAACGGAAGACCTGCATGATCCAGGGAAATTTCTTCCTGGTAGTAGTGATGAAACGCAACTCCAATGCAGCTAAGTCTTTCTCCGCTTCTGTCTCACCTAATAGAAGTTTGTAGATGATTTGCCTACTCCTCAATTTCGGTTTTACTAGTCACGGATTTTCTTCCGGTATAAGCTGGACCATACAGTCGAAATTTGCCCTCCGAATTACCCGGTTGGCCAAACCATGACGTCATGCCGAAAACATTCATTATATTCGTATATTATATTATTCCATTCGTCAATGGAATGCATTTCAGGACTGAGAAAATACTGTTGCAGTTTTGCACAACTTTTAGGAAAGTGTGTATGAGAAACAAAAACGTTTATCTCGTGACATCGTGTTATTTTGGGAACTTGATCTGGGGAGGGGTGTAAATCAACACTATTTTTGCCTCCAGCTTTTAGGGAACATTTGAACTTTGTTTCGAAATTCGAATGTAATGGTCAAAAGGTTATCAAGTGCATTCTACCCCAGTTCTCTTGGTTCAGCATTATTGTGACCTCATCTATAAAGTATTTGGAATGGTTGATATGTCACCAGTCTTTCGCTGGTACGGTGAAAAGCAGTTAATCAACTTGGAAATCTGTTGTGCGGTTGGGGCGATCCTCGGGCGCATGCCTGAGCACCTAGTTCAAGTGTTTCCAGTACAACGAAACAAAGTGTTTCAGTTGCTGAGAGAATCATGGAAAAATTTGCTTGAAACCTTGTTTTTCGCGAGCTTCATATCATAAGTGGAAGCAATAGGGTAGTAATTCTTACAAACGAATCAGCAAATTCCTAGACTATTTACGACAATTCGCAACAAATGTGAAAAAAGGGTCGAACTTGGAGCTCACAAGGTTAAAGTAACTTCCACTCGCAAAATATTTGTCAGTTTCACTTTACAACACCACTCCCGTTCAGTAGGATGGGATTAATGCATTTGTTCTGTGTGTGTACCTGTGACTGGTTCACAGTTTGCCTCCTTGATCAGCGTGGCAGTAGGTACACTGTGGGATATTATTACAGTGATTGTTTTGGAGATGATATTACCATCATCATCATCACTATCAACTGTGGGAATCGCGTACTTGTCGTACAGTGGTTGTGGCTGCCACTGTTTCATCCACCGATGATTTGGGGAGGTGGGGTAGGTAGCTGCGCAGCATAGCTTGCGGGAGCTGATAAATTCGTGCGCAAATACAGAAAAAGCCTTATCTCAGTGTCTGAATATCACGGAGGTTTAATCATTGGTACTGTTGTTCATTGGTTATACCGGCATGCTTATGTCAGCTAGCTATTCTCAAAGAGTCTCGGCGAGCTTACCACTCTATCTTATTCCGTTGGATTGGTTCTGACAAATCACCAACTATGAACACAAACTCACCACCGACTACTAGCAGCTACGTCTTGGATGGCAAAATCTGACTTCTGTTTACAAATTCCGCTCCATCCGTGAGAGAAACTTCCAATCAACTAATCCTCATAGTCGGATAATTCTTTTGTTGCCAGGTTAAGCTGCACTAATGTTAACCAGCGTTGGAAATTTAGTGAAATACTGCATAGGTTGCTATAGGGGGTTGTTTTTGGTCAGTGGAATATCCAATCGTCACTTCCTTGAGCGAAATTAAGAGTCAGTACATATCGGTGCTTAACTATCCAAGCTTTAAAGAAACAAACACAGATATTTTCTTCCGAAATTGACTTTTTGTTGTCCTATGGCATATGTTTTGAGGTGAGAAGATTTAACCGCTGCTTGGTCTGATGTTATGTTACAACAAAGTTTGAGAAAAAATGGTTTTGTGGAAATTTATATATTTGAAATTACCAACAAGAAAGTGAGAGGATAAAGTAAAGTTGATTTGGCTGGCACGACCAATGGGATGGAAGATTGTAACAGGTTTCCGAAACTTTATGTTGCCGGATTATTGCACTTAACATCCCGATCTGCGGTGAATGCATTTAAGCATGCTGTCCTACAAAACTCCGCAATGTTTCTAAAATTAGTCCACCTGGCTGCGGTCTCATTCAGGCACTCATCTTAAAAGCAGCCGTCTCATGGAAGACTCTGAGGACGTAAACACTTTCATGGAACGTAAAACCAACTTGAATGAGTCAGCTCATTGTAGCCTAACGGAGATCGCCAGACAGTAAAGGAAGAAGAATGCATCCGTAAAATCCAGCATTGTTTCCTCAAATTTTTGGAACTTAGATTTTGTACCCACTCTCCTTTTTAGTTGGTAACATCCCCAGGAAAGTAACGAGTTTACTTATGCCCAAATGCGGTTGTTGTAGGAAGCTCAAGGTTATCTTAACTTGCCTTCAGTTACTTCTGCGTTACGCCGCATTTTTTCTTGTTTTCAGTAGTTTTCATCTAGCGGTTTCCAGCCATGAGGACGTTAGTTATCACGCGCAGCTGTGTTTGCATCCATTACTTCTAGTCACTGAGTGCTGCGTTATAACAATGCACATGCGCAAGATCTGGAAACCATATCACGAAAATTTCGACTCCTCTAGGGTGACTGCCATTATAGGATGCTTTGTGTTTCGCAATATGAACTTCCGCTGCGAGGCCATTTCTGTTTAAGATACAGCCAGTTCGTTAAGATACTCGCAGACGGATACTAGATATTCCGATCTCTGTATAGAAAGGCAGCAAAATACACTTTCCAAACAAACTAGTCTTGAATCGCTCTTTTGGATCACTGCTTTTTCTGGCGTGAAGCCAGCATGAGTAACACTACGAAACTAAGCGTTCACCACAGTGGACTATACAGGAAGTTTTCGTATTGCGAATTTTGATTAGTCTGTCAATTGTTGCTTTTCTATAGACTTTTGAGGGTTGGATATGGTTCACCAACAATAAATCTGTTTTTTCCTCGAAATGTGCTTGCTCTTTGGTTCACATCAAGGTGACCCAAAAGAATGAAACCCAATCTGAGGTGACCTTAAAGAGTTTATTTATTTAGCTGTTGATCAGGTAGTTTACAACATAAATGATGCCAAGTTTTTCACTAACCCTGAGACTCTGAAGGCTTGTGACGGAATTTACTGAGTTCTGTATTAAGTAAAACAGCTTGTTAGAAGCCTGATGCCACTGTGAATACCGCTGTCGTTTGTCTACCTCAGGAAATGACGAGTACACAAAGTTTGCTGAATGCTCATAAGCTGGATTATCAGTATTACGTAAATCGTGGAGGTGAGAAATTTATTCTGAGTTTTGCGTTGGATTAAAAACCTCCACGATTGAGCCGCATGCTTGGGAATACCGTTCCGCTCGTCACTTAATCAATCAGTACACAGCGAGGAAAGTTAAATTGGTAAACATATCCAACTTGTTGCTTACGTTAGCTATACACGCACCTAATTTGACAGATAAATCTTGTCTCGCCTTGCTGGCACCTCGATGGAAAAGCCTCGTGCTTGTCAGTCTGGATATAATGCACTGCCAGTGACACTAACAACTAATGTAAACCTTGATTTCTTTTCAGGGGAATAACTGAACGAAATCCATGGGGCTTATTTAGGCAACAGAAAAATCGGTCGGGGGCTGTTATCACCCTCAGGGTCACGGTCATTCATAGGAAGCAAACCCTATCATTTATATCGTTTCCCACCGGTCTCGCTTTGTTGCATGCTCCTTCCGATGGTCTACAGTGATAGATTAACAGTCTTTTTCTGCTTATCAGTCTTGTTTTGCCTGAGTTCTGCATTTGGATGCCACAATCCCACTCAAATGAACAAAGTAAATTCACTTACTACTGTAACTGTAACTCCCAGGGTTGTGAGTCCAACTGCGGCATAGTTCCAGGTTGAGTGTTTGGTCGCTTGAGGACGCGGCGTATCTGCCAGTGCTTTGGGTAAGACGTTGGTCCCAATACACTGTTGACACCATTTGAGACAAACGGTAAAAAGCATTCCAAATGCGACAGTGTATCGATCAAGTGACCAGCGAAATAACCAAGGTTCTTGTGATGATCTCCTGTGATCCCATATTTCATAGATAGCAAATATCTGACGCAACGGACTGCCATTGGAAAAAGACCGAACCAAACTAATACAATCCATTCGATTCATCCATTTACTTTTGTTAAACAAACATGCAATCAGCAACGTAGTTCTGGGTGATGCAAGAACTATTTGGTAACCCCTTTGGTTCGTGGAGAAATATAAAATAAACACTTCTGACATCGTAACGTGGGAATGGAGATGACCCACTTAATTCACATATTAGCTGTGTTGGAATATTTGTAGCTCAGATCTCTTCACTGGCTGTTGATCAGATGGTTGTTGATCTGCTCGCTCAGCCGAGAAACCAACTTCCAAGCGTTTTGACACCAAGCAAGGATACATTATTAGTACGTAGCTAAGTATGCACGGATGAAGTCTCATTGTAAATGCAAATTGTATATTCGAGCATCCCAAAGAATACCTTTGTGTGCACAATTGTCCCTTGATGAATGACCAACCTTCCCTCATGTTCACACTAGAAGCAACCACAAACCGGAACGAAGGCCGGTAACCAAACCTGCGCCATGGCCGAACTCCTAATTTAACGGGGAGGTCGGTTTTTCATATCGCTCCTCCCGGTTTTGTT